GTTGAAAGTCGCCATGAAAGCACTGGGCTTTGATCTCCCGAAACAAGAGATCCTGGGAATACTGCAGCAACACGGAACGTCGCAGCAGCAGAATGCTAAGCAGAGTTCGAGACAGCAGCAACAGTACGCGCCTGGTCGCCAGTTGTTGAGTTTCCAGGCTTTCCAGACGCTCATGGCACAGAGGATATTGAGTCGCGATCCGAGGGACGAAATTCTTAGGGCATTTGAACTCTTCGATGAGGGTGGGAAGGGGACGATTACCCTGCAGGATCTCACGCGTGTTGCGAGAGAGTTGGGCGAGGCGCTTTCGCATGATGAGCTGGTGGCTATGATTGAGGAGTTTGACATGGACAATGATAACGCCATCTCGAGGGAGGAGTTTATCCAGATCTGCATGGGGACTTGATTTTTACAACACGAATGACACTGTTTCTAGTACTTTACTTTGCAAGGCGTTTTCGGAGTAGCAGGATCTTTCACGCAGGGGGACAACATGTGCGGTCAATTTCAATCTTGCTTTATTTGCGCCGAGAAACTATTTACAGCTCAGCTCTTCAAGTAATTGCACGCCGAAATCAAAACTCAAACACAGAAAATATGCATAGTACAAATCTCCCGGCTCCTTCTCTACTGGCCAGGGGAGACGAGAAGACCCTTCTTGGCGGCATCGTGTGCCCATCCACCCGCCAACGCCTCACCACCGTTCTTCAGGCCGTAGTCCTTTATCCTGGCCTCAAGCTCAGGCCTGAAATGCCTGATGAGACCCTGGAGAGGCCATGCGAAAGCCTCGCCCAACGCGCAGATGGTGTGGCCCTCAACCTGCTTGGTCAACTCCTGGAGCATGTCGATCTCACGCTCGCGGGCCTGGCCCTTGTAGAAGCGGTCCATGATCTGATGGGTCCACTTTGATCCCTCACGGCAAGGTGTGCACTGGCCGCAAGACTCGTGGTGGTAGAACTTGGCAAGACGGGTAATGGCGCGGACAACGTCGGTCGACTTGTCCATGACGATAACGGCAGCGGTACCGAAACCAGACTGCGAGTCCTTGAGCGCGTCAAAGTCCATCAGCTGGTCGTCGCAGATGTGCTTGGGAAGGATGGGGGTCGAAGAGCCACCGGGAATGACAGCCTTGAGGTTGTCCCAGCCGCCCTTGACACCACCGCAGTGCTTGTCGATGAGCTCGCGAAGAGGAATGGACATCTCCTCCTCGACAGTGCAAGGGTGGTTGACGTGACCGGAGATGGCGAAGAGCTTGGTACCCTGGTTGCGCTCACGACCGAAGCCTGCGAACCAGCTACCTCCTCGGCGGCAAATTGTGGGTGCGACGGCAATGGTCTCGACGTTGGCGACAGTGGAAGGGCATCCGAACAGACCGACGGCAGCGGGGAACGGGGGCTTCAAGCGGGGCTTTCCGGGCTTGCCCTCTAGCGACTCGATGAGCGAGGTCTCTTCACCACAGACGTAGGCGCCCATTCCTCGGTGGATGTAGACATCGAAGTCGTATCCAGAGCCGCAGGCGTTCTTGCCGATCAGGCCGGCCTGGTATGCCTCCTGGATAGCGCGCTGGAGTACAGTAGCCTCGTGGTAGAACTCTCCTCGGATGTAGATGTAGGCGGCGGTAGCGTTCATGGCACGGCCAGCAACGAGACAGCCCTCAATGAGCTTGTGGGGGTCCTTGCGCATAATCTCGCGGTCCTTGCAGGTTCCGGGCTCTCCCTCATCGGCGTTGACGACCAAGTAACGGGGCTTGGTGTCCTTGTCCCAGTCCTTGAAGTTCATGAATGACTTTGCAAGTCAGTAGCCGTCTCATTGAATTTGATTCGATAGCATAGCATACCCATTTCAGACCAGAGGGGAAACCAGCACCACCTCGGCCACGGAGACCGGAAGCCTTGATCTCAGAAATGATCTGTATCCGTCAGCCTTGATTCATGTGCCCTGTACATATGCCTCTACACACCCATTCATGACCCTTGAGAAGGATCTCCTTCGTCTTGTGCCAGTCACCGTACTTCTGCGCGCTCTTCAAGTCCGCACCGTGGTGTCCGTACAAGTTCTGGAAGATCCTGTCCTGGTCCCTCAGGCCACCGTACGTCCTCTTTGGTGGCGCATCCTGTACTGTCGCGAGCGTCCTCTTCTGTGTGCGGTTCTGGGGGGCGGCAGTCGAAAGGCGGGTAGCTGCCGAAGCTGCGGGCAGCGCTCGGTGGGCGGCCGCGCTGAGCGTCGACGAGGCAGGTGCGTGTCGTGCGAGCATCGTGATTGCTGTATGTGTGTTGTCGAGCGCAATTGATGCTCGGGTGTCCGGCGAGCGTGGGTTATTGGCGATGCAAGTGGTGGCGGTCGTGAAGTTCAATCTGGATGACCTACCCTTTTCTTGGCGTTTTTGATTGGTCCGCGCAACATCGTTGACATCAATCCGCCAGAAGGTCCGACTCGACCACCACCACCATCAACGACCTTTACGATTTGCCGGCAGACTTGCTCTATTTCACTGACGATTTACTGGGAGTGACTGGCACAGTTTTGAGGGTACACAATGTTCACCTGCTGTGGATTGGACAATGAAATCGGATCCGGTATCCGATCGCGGCATACTATCGCCATGCAAGGAGGCTTGTTTGGATAACGTGCACCATATAAATCAAATGGCACCCTAAAGGTATCTACTATGGGTCATAGAATAATTCTTGCAGAGTTGTGTAGGTGTATACCTTTAGGGTGTACTTGCTCGATCGATACGTATTGCTATCCTTCTCCAGCCTCGTGGCAGTGAGTATGGGGTACTCCTCACCTCCACGTGGCCACCGACTCTCATCCCCGCTATCGGTATGGCACCTTGTAGTCTATTTAGTCAGGCTGTCTCACTACACTACTCTTCCTTTGTTCCACTCCACTATCTCCTTCCATCCGTTGACTCCTTTTCATCAGTTCTCCATCCAGTCTATCAAGTCTACTCACGAATGTTCATTCCTTCTACTTCACTTTCCTCCGACTGTGCATGTCATCTCTGGGGTAAGAATCGGTAAGTCGAGGAGTGCAGATGCGCGAAAGCCCACGCACCAGCATTATCTCTTTCTTCAAGTCACCATCCGTGCACCAACATGGCCATCAAAGCTGGAGATTTGGTAGCTACTGTACCTGGTAGCTCACCCACAATGATCTCAGACGGGAAGAGAATGCGAGTGCTCTGGGTGAATGGCCATGGTGATGGTGATTCAACCAAAAGCTTTATTGATCGTTCCAAGACGACTGTCAGAGGCCATCCAACCTGGAAGTTGTTCGCGGGAGACGTCCCGAGTCCAATCTTCCGAGGCAGAAGAGAACCGCCAAAATACGTGTACCTAGACGATCGAGCATGTTACGCTATTTACAGTTCGAAGTTCTACGACGAGAAAGAATTGAAGACGTTTTGGCCATACGACTTTGACAATCTCGGCAATATCAAGGCGAGCAGGCCTAATAGGGGCCGGCCGGCTTATCTAGACACTGCCTGTACCACATACGCCAAAGGGCCACTACGTGGTGGAAAGACAGAAGGGTACGAGTTTTGTGGTGCAGCCTCGTCGTGCGGGGAACAGACTTCTCAACGACGGGTGAAGAAAGAAGCCGAACGAGCGCACGCAAAAGAGGTTGAGGATAGCGCTAAGATCTCACTGAGTGGTGCAATTCCGGTCACGCCCTCACCTTCCACGAACGAACGAGTCATCGACCCTAGAGGCTACCCGATCGGCAGTAAGGTTGGCACCTATTCGGCACGACCGGTCCGGAAACAGGAAGATTCTATCGGCAACGGCCGCATCAAGTTCGAGCGCCGCACGCCCCCAAAACACTACGAGCCTGGCCCTGTCAACGGCGATGTGAAGCCACTAGGCATTCCAAACAAGGCTATTCAAGGCTCGCCGTACCTCAATATTCCAGCGGCAAGTGTTCGGAAGCGACCGAGGCACATGTCTGGGGATATGGCTGGAATAAACGCACGCTTCAACTCCAAAGACAATGCCGAGGAGAGGGATACGGAGGTGACCACGAAGCAGAAAAGAATTAAAGTCAAACAAGAGGAGGGCGATCTGGTTGAGTCCATGGTATAGAGATGGAATGTTTCAGAGCAAGGTGAGCGATTGAGAGAGTGTCCAAAAATCTATATTTCTTTTGTTTTTCGTGTTATGGACGTTGACAGGAAGTCAGACGTTCAAGGCAGTTTGTTTAATTTGGAAGATTCAGTTCGAGGGTACTCACAGTACTCTTGTTTACAAGTTTGATTTTGAATACATTGCGAAGACTAAACTCTTGTCACAGCTTCACTAGATCTGGGGGGCTGTTCATGACGTCACGCGTTTGTGCTCATCATCGCCAGCCTCCACAGCTTTCCACGCATCCTCTCACTATCGTCGCATCGCAAAACCGACCAGCGGAGAGAAGAGGAATAATGCACGTATCCGAGACTGGCGCTGCGCCATTATATGGGAACTTACTTTGGCAGCAAGATCTAGCGCCAGTGTTTCTGAACAGGCGAGGACTAGTATGAGCTGGACCATGCTGGTGGTGTCTTACCGAGACATCAGGCTTGTTGCTATGGTGCAATCTGGAGGCTTCCTTTGTTCATCTGAGACATGCCAATAAGGACCTCTGCGTGTACGACGCTGCCACATACGAAGAAGGTCGTTGTTTCTAAGTTGCACCCAACTTTGGCCTTCTGGCCTCTGTAAGGATTCTCTTCCTTGTGCGCCTCATGATCTAAATGTCTAAAATGTCTTACAAATGAGAGTTCGGTAAAGACAAAACGCTCGGTTTGTTGAAACATCGCACAAAGTGGACTGATCGCAACATCGGGAAAACTCTGGGCCTGAACAGAAGACCAGCGTCGCTAGAGCGACTCAGTGTGACCCGATTCACCTTTTCAGGACACTGAGTAGGCCTGCGCTCTATACACTTGTCAAGACATTGCTGTCAGACAGTAATTACATTTTATAAATCAAAGATCTCCTCAAACTCCAACCGAGATGCACACCGGTCCGAAGTCGGAATTCGAGCGCCAATTGCTCGATTCCACCACACCCGAAGCTCGAGCGTTTTCCTACACTAACGGTTTGGGTTTTAGAAAAAGCTCAACCAGACCAGATACCAATCGCGGTCGCCCGAAGTTCCTGGGCATAGTTGGAGACTTCCACGACGCTACGCAAGCTGTTGTGGACCAGATCGCGGTCAAGTACAAATCACATATAGATTTGAAAGAAACGGTAAGCGGAGAATTTGCAAAGACTTCAGATTTACTCGCTGACAACGAGCGAAAGATAGCAAACTCGCCCCCAGGCTTCAAAGATGAGGACATAGAAGCGTGTCTAAAGGAATGGGGCCCTGGTATCTGGACTAATGGCCGCGACGGGACGCCGTTCGTGACTTCCATCGACACGAAGGACGGCAATTATCCCAATCACCTCAGATACGGGAACAAGAACGATCGCAACTTGTTAGTAATTGACGAGCCAGAAGCTTCATCGGCTGACATATCGTCCACAGAATTAAGATGTTGGTCTATTGCTGGATTATCTTCCGTGCATATAAGAAGATGGAGCTGAAGCCTGCCCCGAAAACAACCAACGCAACTAGCCAGGCGCAGGCTGGCCGCAAAGACGAAACTTCCGAACGACCACGTTCGCTTGCCCATCTATGCGTTAAACTCACAACAGTCGGGTTCGCGATATTCGGGTTCGCGATGTTTGTGTTCGCGATATTGGTCATCTTCGTTTGACGAGACAGACGCATCAAATGGCAATCAGACACCTTTATCATAGTATGCTCGATGATGTGGTAGGCTTGAGAGTACCCTTCTGAATATCCATAAATAGTAATTCGTCATAGCAGCTTATCTATCTTCTTCGATGGACGAACATTCATGGCTGCGCAAGTAAACGTACTTCTCAATTATTGCCTCCCACAACTGGAATCTACTGCATTCTCTGAGGTATGAAGCTTGCTCACCTCCTCATTTCCATCGGAGATCGAATCGAAAACTTCCTGTCTTGGATCCTCAGGTCGCTTGCGACGCCACCAAATTGAGCAGTCTCGTTCCTGATTTCACTATCTCTGCTCGGCCCCGGCAATATGTGCCGCCAACAGGGTGTTATTCAATAAGCCGACCCGAGTTGCAAAACATGCCGAAGGAAAGGGGCCGTCAGATATTGTTGGTTGATCGACCGGCTGGGTCAGGGTGAAGGATTGCGGCGTGGTTGCCTCTAGAGCTGGTATGGTTAGCTTGGTGGTGATCGTCTCAGCCACATGCAGTCTCAGGGAGCAACTCCAGAGTCTCACCGGTGGTCGCAACGGCCGTCTTATCCCGCAATTTCATTAGCTAGTGTGTGATTGAGGGATGCCCGTGATTCCCCTTCCATCACACCTGCAGTCTCATTTCGACATGCCATGCTACCGCGCTCGGGTGGCACCGTGTACGTGAGCTAACGACTCGTATTTTCTTTGCTTTTTCCTTCTTCCAAGGAGTCAGCCTTGCCCACATTGCTGCCTGTTCTACCTTACTTTCCTAACTCGCTTTTGAGGTAGCTTCTGCGAAGTATCTAGGTAGCTTACTCCTTGCTCTGGTGCAAGAATCATCCACAGTTCCCAACTTGAAGTGTCTACTCAGGATACAGCGAGTCCCGACGGTTTGTCAAATCATACCGAAGGCATGGGAATGCCGCAGCGTCCTGAGCACACCCGCACGGCGTAGCCAACATGCATATAGAGCAGCCGAACTTCCGTAGATTCATCGACTGTCAAGCGAAGATGGGAAACACTGCAAGGAACGACAGGGACTCCACGTGGCAGGGGGAAGAGGTTCTTAGACCAGGCTTGGGTCTGATGCGCAGTGCACGGCCACTTTGTTGCAGCTCAACGTCATTTCAATCAGTATCGCTCCGCAGTATGTGGATTTGGAGGACCTCTTGACCGTAATGTGTTTCCCGTATCTCTTTGGTAGGCAGCGTTCCCCGAGATTAGACCTCTCAGCTAAGTACCCACTTCCTCCACCTAAACGGCTCAAGACTCGAAGCAAAAGGGTTCGTGCTAGGATGTGTGGTACAAGCTTGCCCTGGGAGTAGCTATGGCAGCACCGCTTACACCGATCATTGGAAGTGACTGGGGAAGTGGGTCATACGACTAGAGAGTGAGAAACCTCTAAGGTTTGTGTATGCCTCGACCACCTCGTCAGGGTGCCTCCGGGCCTTTCGGTGTAAATACCTAACGGCCCTTCTTGGCATGCAAGGCGTTACAGCCTGGGGCTTTCGTTATGTCCTTATAAGTCATTGGAGATAACTTCTTTTTTGTACATCAGCCTTGCAGCACACGCTAGAACTTACCCCAATCAATGTTTTACCATACAGTACCTGTTTTGTCTTCCTGATCTATGTTGTTCTCAATACAACTTGGCGTCAATAGAAGCGGTGGAAACGAAAGGTAGATCTTCCTCTATCTTGGTGGTAACTGCCAGTCTGTGCACAAGCGGAGAAAGCGTTATCTGACTAACATATGAAACTAGAAGCAACAAGATATTGCTACAACTATATAATGTCGGCAGGTGATTCTCTGATCGAGGAGTGCACCAATGGAACGACCAAGGCTGGATTATACTTATCCCGCCTGGGACTGGAGAAAGAAATCAAGAACCCGAACAAATCAGGCAAGCCGAAATTTTCAATACCTGAACTTGACGACTTGTGGGAAGCGACAAACTTGAAAGCCAATGCGATCGCGGCGACATACAACTCAAGGAAGGCCATACGCGAGGCACTTAGACGACGGGACATCTGTCTCGACGAAATCGCAAGAGACTGTCTCGTCGGCTACGGTCCGAAAATCTGGAACAACGGAAGAGAGGTATACTTCGTTCTTTCTCTCGATACAACAACCACACCTTCCAAAATCAAGGGGCATGCTCAGGTTGCAGAGGACAAGTATCTAAGGCACCTGATCTACGAACATCCAAGTGATGCACGCAAGTATGTTAATCTAAGCTATCATCGTTTATAGATTCTAACATCATTCATTGCAGAATAAGGCTGCTAGTGTCTGCTTGGACTGTCCAGCGCGCTTGTCGGAAGGCCGAATATGACCGTCGTGAAGGAAAGACTCCCCAAAAAGAAGTCATGAAGTCATCAACAGATTTTTCTAGCTTCATAGAGGCAATCCGTGTGAAATCGGCTAAGCGTACTCACAGTACCATCTTGGCTTCGTCATATAGCTCTGAAAGCTCCGATGAGCTCAATGTGTTGGGTTTCGAAGACCCAGCCAAGCCCCCGGTTGGATTCAAACACGCTGTACAACTTGATGCTGCTTGTAAACCACAGTCACAAAGATCAAGAAAATCCCATGATGTACGGCATACTTCAGCAAAACGGCAGAAGAAGCAGACTGCTGTCGCGGTTGTGATACCCGCACGAAAACCCCAGCATACTGAGCCATCCAAGACGACCAGTAGAACACGAAGTCAACCGCTAGACAAGGGAAAAACAGTGCCACGTTCTGCACGGAGTGGAAGAAAAGGATCGGCTAGGGAGACCCTGCGATTGACAACTCCATGCCGCACGACTCCGCGCCGCACAAGAACAGGAACTCATAGTGAGCGGTCGGTTCAAAGCAATGCTGACACAAATATGAACCTATTGGTGACTCAGCTTAAGGCTGACCGAAATGAGCTGAGCATATGTCTTCATGATCTTTTATCGCCGCGCAACCCGGGATGCCACAGCCTTACTGCTATCAAGCGGATGACCGGGCTTATCGACACCATAGTCATCAATGATGCTCAGGGCCTCCGTGAAAACCTTGGAGGCTCCTACGATAAGCACAAGATTGCTCTAGACAGATGGTTGGGATGTGTCAAGACACTTGTCGAATTCCGCGAGATGACCGGCCTGGAGGGCGACGAGGATACAATAAAGGCGAGCTTCAGGGAATTGCTGTCGCCCATCAGAGAAGAAGCACGATTGCTTCGGCAAAGAAAGCGCCAGGAGATCGTAAAGTGGTTCGAAAAACCTGCTTCCAAGGAGCTTGAATCCACTACGGCCAATTTCTGCAAAGAAGTGGCCTTTGTACTTTTGAAAATGATTAGCTGGGGTGGATTGGACATGAAACTAAAAGAATTCCTTGGCATCATGGTACCATTCACAAAGCGGCTACTGGAATGGTTCAGTGTTGAACCAATCAGCTCTACGGCAAGGAATTGAAGGGTTCTACCCACGCTCATCTCGGTTTGTAATGGTTACAGGTTTCTAGACTCAGGTCAGGGGAATAGAGGAATTCTTATGTACGTATAGATGAACCAAACAAAGCTCGATAGAAATAGACTTCACCCTACCTAAAAGTAGCCTCCAATTGCGTCCGTGGACATGAAGAGCTTGTTTGTGCGATAAAGAACCGCGAAAGCCTGTCGGTTCACTCTATTGGACTCAAGGCATGTGAAAACGAGCACCTTCCGAGCAGACTGCAAAGACGTTGCCTTGCCGACACGCTCCTAAGTCAGCTGCTGCTACGCCACATTTCGCACCTTGAAACAATGCTTGTAACCACCCGTAACAGCCCCAGCAGTGTTGACGATCTTCGGAAATCGCCAACCGTCCAATGACTGTCTCACTTGACTCGTGCCAATCTTCAGTCGCTCTAGAATCTCTATGACGGCAGCATACAGGACATCGAGATTGCCATCTTCAACCTTGACAGCGATGCCAATAGCGCCGTGACTTGCCTCAGTCATGTCAGCGTCGTTTGGTGCGCGGACAGCGACGCCATAACAGGCGTCTGCTCCAATCTTTCCCACGATTTGTCCACCATAGGCTGCCATGAGCGCCGTATCGAATCGACCTTCACCAGCGACCAGTCCATGGTAACCAGCCATCGATTTATGAATACGAGCTAAATGTTGCGTTCGTTGATCGACTGGTTTCGTCTTCGTGTTGTCGAAGCAATCAGCGGCATCAGCAAGTCTTGCGAACATGAGCGCAAAGTTTGGAAGAGGCATTGCCGGGGTTGGAAGGTTACATCCATCCACAGTCCAAAGCACTTCGTTTTCTCCAAGCCCGCTCAGGTCTTCTACGGCTCGGTATACGCGTTGCTGCATTGGATTTCCGGGAAAATAGTAGTCGTGAGCCGAAGCGCCCAGAGATAGAGCGCCTGCTACCATACCAGCATGTTTCCCAGAGCAGTTGTTGTCGAGGGCAGTTGGCGTATAGTCTTTTTTGATCCATGCACGATTGACCACGGGGTTCTGAGCTGGGTGTCCGCCGCATGTAAGAATCTCTTCCTTTTCTCCCGTCTTCTCCAGCATCGCACGTGCTCGTTCAACGTGTCGCGATTCGCTACTGTGTGAAGCACACATGAGTGCTACATCGGCATCGTCGTAGTTGAATCGTTCTGCAGCCCCGGTTTCCAGAATGGCGAGTGTTTGGATCGGTTTCGTAGAAGATCGTGCCAGTGTCATCCTCTGATGGTTGCCAATTGTGTAGATGAGTTTGCCAGATGCGTCAACAACGGCAGCGTGTACATCGTGCGTGTTCTCGATGATACCACCACGGTAGCTGATGACTACATCGTTGCCATGTGATCCGACAGAGTTGTTCATTCGGTCATTGACAGCGGCATCTTGGGTCAGAGGTTTAGCCGTCGCTTGTGACTCCTGGTCCGTGGTCGCATGCACCATGGCTTGGTTCGTCTTATTGCGACCTGCCCGAGTCGGATCGATGGTGGATGTTCGATGTTCAACACACGATATAGCAGCAACTTTGCTCAACTAGGATTGATGAGGGAACAGTCTTGAGGTAGGACCTTCGTTGTTGAAGGCATACGTGATGCACGAAGAAAAACGTTAGTGTACGACGTTGTTGCTTCCGGCATACACCTGCCTTTCAATGTCTAGCGTCGAAGATTTGATTACCTAAAGATAGCTCGATCGAGCGTGGCATCACCAACAAGAGGGCTGAAGTGGCATCGCATCGTCATGGTCATCGTTATGCGCCCTATACGTTGCTGATAAGGCGTGCGATAAGGTATCGGATGAGCGGGTCACAGTTATGACGAGGCCAGAAACCCTGAACACGCTCTTGTCGTAGTGTAAACTACTGAGAATTGTTAGAGGCAGCCCTGCGCTCTTAGTTCGATGGACATGATATAGATCAATGACGTTGTGGGTTGCAGAGATGCCAGAAGCCGGAAGACCGCACCGTGGGAAGGAGCGTGTCGCGCTAGTGGCTAACGTGTTTTTGGCTAGGAGTGTTTCTACGCGTCAGGAACGATGTCTCAAACCACAAAGCAACCGTAAGTTATGTTCATCCTGCCGACGTGTCCTTTGATGAAGACATCAATTTCAATCAGTACGCCCCACACGATTCATATTAGGCGACCGTTCTAGATCTTGACAGCCTCAGAAACGCAAGATTAGACAGCAGATCGCAATGGCAAACTTGAGGTTGCAGAAAATTCTTGATAAATTGTGGATGAAAAGTATGTACATGTAATGGAATGAAAGGAAATGGGTATCTGAGTTCTTGCGCAGCAAGAGACGGCTATCATCGCCGTTTAAACGCTGAAGCTGACAGCAGGAGTCTTCCAGTTAACCAGCTCAGGCCCAATCTTCTTCAGGTCTGCTACACCGATGTTGGCTGCGTCGTTGATGAGCTCGTACTTGAGCATCTCGGTCGCCCTTGCGACACCCTCAGCACCATAGATGTTGGCGTACATGAAGGGCCTTCCCAGACCGACAGCCTTGACACCCAAAGAAAGGAGCTTGAGAACATCAGTTCCGTAGCGGATACCGCCGTCGGCGTAAACTTCGATCTGCTGGAAGATCTCGGGGTCTTCGTTGTAGATTTCCAGAGCGACTTCAAGAGATGATGGCGAAGTGTCGGTTTGGCGGCCGCCGTGGTTGGAGAGGAAGATGGCCTTTGCGCCCTGCTTGACGGCTTCGCGGGCGTCTTCAACAGTCTGGATACCCTTGGGGATGATAGGCAGGGAGGTCATGTTGGACAGCTGCTGGAACAGATCCCAGGTCAGAAGGCTCAGGTTGACGTCTGCGGAACCAACACCGTAACGTGCAGCACGGTGCCTGACACCGTCACCGGGCGAGTCGACGGTCAGGACAATAGCCTTCGCACCAAGGCTCTCGATCCTCTTGAAGAGAACTTGTGTGTCGTTCATGTCACCATCAAGGTATACTTGTTGGAACAGGACTTGTTCTGAACCGTTGGGACGAGCAGCGTAGATATCCTCTAGGCTCTTCGACGAGTAGAGGGAGGTCATGTAGAGGATGTTACCCTCGCCAGCACCCTTAACAAGACCAAGCTCGCCATCTTCGTTGGCGTATCCGCCACGCGCACACGGTGAGATGAAGAACGGCGCTGAGAAGTTGTGGCCAAGGATGGTCGTGGGCATGGAAGCTTCGATGTTGGTAATGTCACGCAGGACGCGTGGTCTCAATCGGTACCGGGAGAAGACTTCTAGGTTGTTGCGGTACGACCATTCGCCAGCCGCTCCGTTGCGGTAGTATGTGTAGGCTGAGGTGTTCATGTGTTGACGACCAACCCACTGGAAGTCTGGCAGACCAACCAGGGAGCTGAGAGGAGGCAGAGTTCCATTGGCGACGAACCCAGCCAACTGGTCATCGATACCAGTGTCTGGTTCGTTCAGGAAAGGCCGGGCTGCGAGAGCGCAAGTAGCGAAAGCGAGGAGTGAGTAACGCATCTTGAGCGACTGCTGGTATAGTATCTGAGAGGAGAAAAGATCGACTGTGGGTGAATGATAGTCGGGTGGACGCTCCCAAGACTCTTATACTTCGTCAGTCAGGCCTGGCATACATTGGAGCAGCACCTGGGCAAGACGGCGCCTAGTTTGCATGTAACCACTCTGGGGATAAAATCCTGCATGCCATCCAATCCTTGCCTGTACACCATTTGTGCAAAACCAGAGCGCACATGGCGTTACTTACCAAACTGGGTTTCGAAACCATTTGCGTCATCGGAGTAGGGCCGTGAAGGCCCTTCATCTGATAAACAAGCCTGTCAAGACGTCCAGAGTGGAGCACGGTTATCTCCTGCTGCGTTGCCAAGAGCACCAGAGGCGGTTGCGACCAGGTTGTTGTTTAGCATGAATTGCACGCACTGGGCACAGTAGCTGCATCGGGCCGATGTGGTTCATGTCAGGATTGTCAGTCCAGGCACGCGGGTGACCCACCGCGGAATTTCGAATCCATCGGTGTTGTTGTGGTAGCTTGATTGGTCAGGACATTGGTAATGGCTGCACAGTTCCTGAAATTGAGGTACCGGGACAAGACCGAAACGTGGAAGGTGGCTTTCGGTCACAGCCGTGGGATTCCTAGGTAGCTCGGCACATTGCCGGACCTGGAACATCACTTATCCCACCGGCTTGTGTGAAACGAATTCCGCTCTATGGGCTCGATGACAAAGCCAGCAAAACATCATTCCGCTGCGCCTCCACTACGTTCTTTGGTACGCGTGGTGATGTCGTTGGCGGCTTTGCTGTTACTCGGCATGACTGGAACAGGCGAATGTGTTATCGCCACAGAGGGATCATATAACAACGAACTAGAATGAGCCATGCGCATATTGGACTTCCTAAACGATACTCGTTGTCTTGGTATCTTAGCTGTTTATCTGTATTGAAATTTGAAGGAAGGTCCTACCCCATCGGATCGCACCTCCGAGGGCACACATGGACTCTAGTGCGCTATAATACAAACTTTTGCGTATCGTCGCGGTCGCACAGTGCTCTAGATTGCTGTTCAGTCAAATTTTCGTGCGACTACATGCACGAGTGGGGTAGTCGTGATGACAAGGAACGATGAAGGATGGAACAGTGGCCCAAACAGTTTGAAACCAGTTGACAGGTGGGCGACGCGAACGCGCTAGTGCTGTAGCGCGTAACGGTCACGACGCCATTCCAAGGTTGTGTCCGATATTTGTTCTGTCTACACCGACCACGAATCTCCTAAGCCACCGTTGAGTGCCGGAGCTAATTCACACGACTAGTCGGAAGGACCGGTGTCGACACGGCAGCGTCCGCAAGGGAAGGAACATCCACGAATGCGAATATGGCGGATCTCCGCCTCCCGTTATCACTTTCTGCGGAAGACCGTGTTGACGTAGCCTGAATAGGAGGACATGCACATATCCAGGTGCTGGAGCCCGCTTCTCTGATGAGTTCGATACAGGGGAGATTGCGTCAAGAAAGCAATCGCAAAGAGCCGACTAGTGACGCGACGACTACCCAGGTATCCACGAGAAGAATTTGACAGCTCATGCTAAACGGTTAAGTATCTTGGTTTCACTCGGCTTGGCACTGATATAGGCTACCAGGGTGTTCAATGGGAGTTCTACACGACGCTATCGTCATAGTCATGTCTGACACCCTTCCATGCAGTGACACTCAATGGTACCTCGGTAGCGCCGGCCTCGATGTATACTTCAAGGCGCAGCAATGCTTAAGTTATTGAATAATCGGAGGAATTGTCGTATCCACTAGTGCAAAGTTGAAGAGCTTTACGACGGCAATGTCGACAGGGTGTAAGGTTCCAAGAGGTGCGGGGGAGTCGCCGAAGACGCGGGGTCAGGCGCTCAGTCAAGAACACTATACTCTTATTTCGCTCGCGACCACGACCAGCCGTCCATCATGGCAAACGTTCTGCGCGTGGCAGCATGCCATGTATCGCCGATCTTTCTAAATGCACGCCGAACAACCGATAAAGCCATATCACTCATCAAGCAAGCGGGATCCAATAAGGCCAACCTTGTAGTGTTTCCCGAGACCTACATCTCTGCTTTTCCGATATGGAGTGCTCTACGTGCGCCCTCGGAAAACCATACACTCTTCCAGCGCATGGTACAGGAGTCTATCTATGCTGATGGTGATGAAATGGAGGCGGTACGTGAAGCGGCGCGATCGAATAACGTCCTTGTAAGCATCGGCTTCAGCGAACGATCCCGGCACAGTAACGGCTGCCTATACAACTCGAACATCTTCATCGGGAAGGAAGGAGAAGTCCTCGTCCACCATCGCAAGCTGGTCCCTACCTTCTTCGAGAAGCTTACGTGGAGTAGCGGTGACGGCCATGGGCTGCGTGTGGCTGACACGCAATTCGGTCGCATCGGCACATTGATTTGTGGCGAGAACACTAATGCGCTTGCAAGGTACTCGTTGATTGCGCAGGCTGAGCAGGTGCGTGATTCTCATTCTGTCCATCGCGCTCGAGCCTTACGGAGTTAGGTACATATTTCGACCTGGCCCGCAATTTGGCCGACAAGAACTTCACACACCGCGCAATCCACCGACGATAGTAATGAGCAATCTAGTCCAAGCGTTGCGCGTGAGACGAATTACGACAATCTAGCGGCGAACAAGACCCGCGCCGCAGCACATTGCTTCGAAGCGAAGTGTTTTGGTGTAGCGTGCTCTGGCCATCTCGCTGAAGACGCTATCAAGACTATCATCGACGGGGCAAGCCAGCCGGATGTCGTGGCCGACACTTTACGCGCTATGCCCCGAGCTGCGACCTTCTTCCTGGATCCCACTGGCGCTCCGTTGCGTAGCTTTACCTACCGGGACGCGGAAAAAGAGTACGTGCACGCTTTACAAGATCAAGAAGGTATATTGTATGCCGACATGAGCCTGGACGACTGCATTGAGGGAAAACAATATCACGATGTCGTAGGTGGGTATCAGCGACTGGATGTGTTTGATCTCAAAGTCGATCGATCAAGGAAAGAACCGGTACGCTTCAGTTAAGATCTGGGCTATAAGATAGTCACCTATTGTCGTTATCACCCCATGCGGCATCGTGTCGAGGCAGTTCACAAAACGCTCTTCGATCGTATGCATTATTTATACAAGAGCTCCGCGATACTTCCGTAGGCCAGCACCCTCGCGTTCACCGTATCGAAAAGTAGTGAGTCTCTAATGACGCTACCATACTTCTCGTCAACCCTCGTCACAGTGCCTGCACCGATCCAACGGTCTTGAGCAATTTGAACCTAGTCGTATGATTCCGAGTCAACCGTTACCAAGCTTTTGCGGGGTGAGAAATTCCTTGGGTATGGCTTTCGGGTCGGATAGCGTCCTGCCGGGAATGTACGCGGAAAGCGATGATCGAACGTATGCCATTCATCGGAAGAATATCGGGCGTTGAGGCGCAACGTAAGGTCTACAGGACAGGTAGGCCGAGCAAGTATACCTTTATCTGGGATGTGCCGGTAGCATCTACAGGCAAGGGAAGCCTACTCAGCCGAACACCTTCTTCCGTCCTGACCATACTCTGTTCAAATCGCCGCCGACGTTCTGTTTCCAATGTCTCAGTCTTGGCAACACGAATTAGCTGTCTTGGTGATCGACGGCTGACCGCGCTGTCGGATTTAAGACGGAGGCATCTCCACTCCCAGCACTGAGACCTTGGCAAGTCTTCTTTCAGGGCCAGACACAACAGCCAAGTAACGCATGGTTTCTTTCAAGTTTCCGCTAGTATCCCATCCCTCTGCGTCATGGTCATCGTGGTACTGCGAGACCGAAACCGAGCCCCGGAATGGAATGCGGTGTTAATCCGTCGGCGCGCTGCGCCAGACTCATGATGAGTATTCAATAAGCATGGTACGTCACGCGTGGCACAGCCCATCACTAGCACCGGAGAAGCGACCAATTCGTCGAGAGAAAGATTCCCTTGTTTGTATCACATCTAACGTGGTATCTCAAAACTCTCGTAATCCTCCGAGCCCATGATGGAGCAAAATGTACACCGCCTTGCATCATTTGCATTGTCCCTGCTGCCGTTTCCTTAGCCGAATAGGTCACCAAAGGCAGAACCGTCGTCCGAATCTGCGTCGATGTCGATGCCTTCATCTCCGTCTCTCTCTTCGTTTCCATTCTCTCCAGACACCTTGCCATCTTCCTTGGTATCGGCAACGGTGTTGCGGCCGGCTGGCGCAGCCGTGACCGCGGTCAAGACTTCCTTGACGTTCTTGTCCTTGAGTGCGTTGGCGAAGAGTGTGGTCCAAATCGGCTCCACGTCCTCGAGACCAGCAGCCTTGAGCAGTGTCTGGAGCTTTTCTGGTGTTATGGCGATGCTTTCGTCAGCGAGGATCAAGGCGGCGTAAGCGACAGCTTGCTCGGACTTGTCGGTAGTGGTAGACATTGAGGGGACCTTGCACCGTCCGAGTTGATGTTCGTATTCAAGGGAGAACGGTATGTTGGTTGTGATCGGTTGCGATTAATTCCCAGAAGTTTGTTGTTACTCTTGAGGTAAGTGCAGCTTTGGTGGTATTGATATGGACTGTATCGCTCGGTTCGTTATGCTGATCTGTTGGTACAAGACTCTTATATGTGTCTTGTAGAAGCACTAGTCGGTCGAGTCACAGTATTTTCACATCGTATCCAGATCAACTTTGGTAGCGACATGGTCATGTTGTGGATCCTGCGACGATCGTATTACGGTAGCGACGAACAGCCTGCTCTCAACAACATCGCCGCTTGGAATAATTCCAGACACAATGTAGAGGTCTAGCTACGATTGGCACGTTGAAAGCTCGTTCGAACAAGGTCCGTCCGTAAAGGGTTGGGTTGCGCGGAGTGAGTCAGCAAAAGGGCGTTGCGGCACCCGATCGAGCAGCCCGCCTTATCACATTGTGACTCATGGCCAATATGACCTTACAAGGCCACCCAGATATGCCTTGTGTACGAATTTGGAGCGATTGGGCCGTAACTGACTTTGTCCGTAGGTCCGGTCGCTGGAGAAGAAGCTCGCGGAATCGAAAAAGTGTCAAAGGGGCACGAAACACCAGAAATGAGCTTCAATACCTTCCTGCATCCGGATTTCTGGCCACATGAAAAACACCATGTCCCTCCTTTGCAACTTGTACTACGACTTTCTGGTACTCGAATACCCCGTTTGCTCTGTCCGATAGTCATTCAATGTAACGACGAAGTTCCTCGTCTGGTATCGCATTTTCGTACAGGTTTCGTAAGAACCGCGCAGATTGAAAAAGGCTTGTGTCGCTACCGGTTACTGTCATGCCAGCCCGTACCGTCACAAATCCGGTGTCTTCTTGTGCCTTCGTGGTGCGGACTGGCTTAGCATGGTCCTGCCTAGGTAGTAGAAGCCTTCACGGGTAGCAACAGAGTGGCAAAACAGGCACTCGTCGCTGCTTGTGTGCTGTATCCTCGAGTATCTTGGAGTTACTGGTAAGGCGAGCTCATGACGCCTGTACGTCGCGTTGTGGTCACTGGTGCTACGTGCATTCCGCGTCGCAGGGTCGCGGGGCCAAAGCTTACGCGTATATCGTATAGCGTATAAGAGAGCTTCCCTAGTCAGCTTCACATCGCGGAGTCCATTTATAAAGCGAACGTTGCATGGTCCACATTGCATCTCAGTTCGCTCAAGCCACTACTATGGCCAGAGTTACTGCTCGCACCATGTCGTTATTACATGTGTTTGCAGGTGCTGCAGCCTTAGGCGCCATTTTACCCCTGTCAGGCGGTCCAATCAACAACCACCAACAAGCCGTCTTGAACGCCACTCCAAACATCCCAGAACCTCCAAAGCCAGAAACGATCGATGTCATCGAACTTCCATTACCTCCAGTATCTGCAAGCAGAGACGTCGGTGCATGTACAGCGGCGCTTAACCCACATCTGACGGGTTGCATTGCACGAGAGCTTACGGATAAGTTCCAAGCTGGGGATTTTACACCGGATGGCCAAAATGTGATTGTCACAGTGACCTTCGTTGGAGCGCCTGCGGCTCCAAGTTCGGCAAGCATTTACGAGGGGGTTCAACTGATTCTCATCAGAACGGACGGTACAAACTTCAGCAATGGCGACCCGTGGAAATGTCTGACGTGTGGTGTACCGACCAAGAATGCGAAAGAACTGGATCCGCAGAGGGATTATCCACATGTGTTCAGAAGCGGCGACAAAGCAATCTGGGGCCATAATATCCTCGATTGCAATGGCAAGCAGTTGGCCAGCGATGCCTGCACGCCCGATGACATCCACATATATCCAATTTACTGGTCGGACGGAGCTCCTCGGGAGCTCCGCATACACCCCGATGATGTTCACATTGGTTGGAGTTCGTTCACGAACGGTGCTGGACAGTTCTCCTACTTTGGCCGTCTGGAATTCAACGCGCATCCTCCAGGAACAGGTCCTGCTGTGCCTCGGTACGATCTGGTCGATGTTGACCTGCTCGTCGATCCAAAGCGCGGGGCTTTCATAACAGCCGATGGTAGTGAATTGAAGCTCCATCCCGAATCAATCATCATTGGTGAGCTGAGAGGCTTCAGCGGATCTGGAGATGAGATACTGTACCTCGGTGCACCCACCGAATCAACGAATATTGATCTATATGCAGTTCATATCGAGACTGGTATAGTTCGTCGCCTAACCAGTCACCCCGACTACGCTGATCCAATTGCCTTTTCTGCTGACGACCAATGGTTTGTCACTCAAGATACACGAGCGAGCGAGCGTCAGATGTGGATGTCCGGCATGCGAGGTATCCCGCCTCTCATCGACATTGTCGCGGTGGCAGTCGCAGCGTCTACACGAAACAATGGGAAGCGTCGTTTCTTTCAACCCATCTTGATAGACCGCCATGGAGATCGTGGGTCGTATTACGGGCAGCAGGTCAACGGAAATGGCGAAAAAAGCGATGGGGGCATCAATGACCCAAGTTGGAATGGGCGAGCGGATCCGGCCTTTTCTTTGGATAGTACATGCATTGTGTATTGGCAAGCGATCGTTACCTCTCCAGCTTGTGGTGGCATCAACCCACTGCCTTGCCCCGCCTCCACTGCGCAGGGTCGGCGTGAGTACCGTGTCATGCTCGCGCGTCTGAGCGATCGCCAGCCCTCACTGCCGGCCCCAGTTTATAAGGTGTCCAGTCGCATACCGTGGGCAACACCATTCCCACCGGGTACTGACGTCCCTTCGCTGCCCACACTAAAGCCAGGTAACTATACCCTCCGTGGTAAGGTATCTGGATTTGCGGAGGTCAGCCTTATTGGAGACGCGGTTCATCCCGAACCAAGCTCTATTAAGCGCGTCGTGGCCAATTATACAGATTTTTCTGATGACGGCGACCACACCATCAACGGCTTGGAGGACGTCGAGCTGACTGTCCTGTTTCCGAATGTCTGGAACCAGAGACTCGATTGGTATTCCGACATTGTGCAGACGGGATCGTCGACTGGAAGCAAGAAAACTGGTGCGCGCGGGCTCCAGTTGAGGATTGATGTGATGAAGAACATACTTGAAGCGAACGGGACGCTGACGACAACTATCGACGGCGTAGCTTATCATCAACCTGCCAACGGCACCTAAACAAGACGTTCTTAGCTGTAGCTGGAGTTCGAACAATTTTCATGTATTGCTTTCGGCGGCCTATCGGTCACATTAAGTCGTTAGTCACCCAGCTAGCTGATCACTACCGGTGAACCTGTCCATAGCTGGCAGTGTTTGCTTCGTGGCAGAACATCTTTGGGCGAGAAGCGTGGGGATATCGATAACACTATTGCGTTGGAGACATTTTAGTCAAACCTTCGAAGGTTTGAGCACGTTCCTGGTCCTGGCGAGGGTGGGACCCTTTTTGGCGTTTGTTACCCGCCCGGGCAGGACTAGGCCAAGCTGTCGCATGCCCTGACCAGCGCCTTTAGGCTAGCCGTTTATAATTGCTGGATGTTTGCATGCGCCGAGGTTGCAGCAATATCACATACCAACTCCAGACCTCATCCAAGCGGGAATGACTCTCTGCACCAGACGATGTGGTGATGTCATCAGGAGAGTAAGCCTCGGCGTCCCTAGGAACATCATTCGTCGGATGTACTGGCCATAATGCTAAGCCTCGCGTCGCTCGGTAGCTCTATTTTATTCGTGGATGCATTTCTAAGCCGCCATGGATTTCCCGCTGCCAGATCGAACGCGTACGACGTCCTCGGGCCGCCCGCTAGCGCCACCCAATATGTCGACCCGCGCATTCGCACTGATCCTGCATCTGCAACCGCATCTAGAAGCCGCGTTTTCGGATTCGACCAATCTCAATGAAGTGCACTCCGAAGCTCGTGTTCATTGGTACTATGCACAAAAAAAAATGCAATGGACTTGATGTCTTTCCTAAAGTGTACCGTTCACCGCTTGTGGCTGAGTGAGTAAGCGGTATGATTAACAACCGGTTAACGGTAAATGTCTGAAGATCGATCTGACTCGGTAAGTGAACGGGATCGCCAGGATGGGTGGTGCTCACGCTCTCGCATGGTTCACATAGTTGCTGTGCCACCCGTGTGACACATCACTTTAAGAACCTCACGTTGCTGATTCTACTTTTTGCTCATACAGGGTCCTCGATACGAACGCCATGTGGAAAGACCCATGCAATTGGTTAAGATCCGCAGATTTACGCCCGTGCCTGCGGCAACGTGGACCCGAAGTCCCAAACGCTTGCACGGCTCAGTTTACAGCTGTTTGCCGTCCTCGTGGGGAGCGCTCGACAAGCCCTGCTCAATCCCGCCTTTCTCACCGTGAATCCAATGGCTCCTGACGTTGATTGGAGACATTAGAACAATGATGGACGAGCATGCCCACTACTCCGGTGAGTACCATTCCACTCTCCTTGTGAACATGATTCATCAATCTCGTGCAATGATTCAAACGAACCTCCGAAGTGGGCTTGCTTGACGCAAGGAACGAAAGCATGGAGTCAGATACGCCATGGTTTGGTGGGCGCGTTGAGGCTTATGGGCAGCTCTGATGCGATTTACTATCTGGTAGTCGGCGACCTACCCATGCACTCGACGACCCTGTATCGCTTACCACGCTGCTGGTGGAGTATGTGTGGAGATTTTGCATGATAACTAAGTCCGGAGGGTTCTAGCGGTTCAGTCGTCTGTCGTGTACTCATGCCGCTATGCGTGTCAGACTGCAACGCAATAATCAAGCAATGTACGCCTTCGCCCTCACTCTGTTTAGTGATGACGTTCAATTGATCCTTCTGTCGCTATTTCCAGTACCGTGTCTCTAAATTTAAATGAGTCAAACAATGAATCATAGCAATACAGCAGAACCTTGGCAGTGGTTCGATCTGGTGGGACGACTAGATTGGCATAACGCGGGATCAAGGCCAAGCGAAGATGCGGTATATTGTCGCTACAGCTTCGAATTAGTTTATACGCATGCTAATCTACTAGGCAGTTCAAGGTAGAACTTCCGGCTATCTCGGGTTAGAGTAACAATGAGACATATCTAGGTAGTCATGCAACTGCATGATCGAGATGGGTCTTCATGTCCCATTCACATGCAGTTTTCTTTCGTAGGCTGGGATTCATTCCTCATACGTCAGCAAGCGACTCGATAACCGAAAGGATTGCGATCTGGATAGACAGTGCTTGGAAGGTGGTAGGGGTGGGTCAAACGGAAGGGCGCCCTTGCTGAATCGACACGGAAGATTACGAATTCAGTAACAACCCATCCAGCAGGATGCTTTTGTATCATGCGGGTCTCTACTGCAGATGTGGGCCGTAAGCTTAGACTAGTAGGCTATGTTTGCGAAGGTCGCGGTGTGTATTGCCGCTCGGCATATGCCCGCAAAACCAGTTGTCAAGCGCGCGTCTTGAGCATTCCATTAGTATGAAAGCGCACCATCGTATGTGCAAAAAATAGTCTCTCAATTCCTTCCTCCCTTCCCATTAGTGCTGATTCAACGCTATGGAACCGTATGCGTTATTCGAAAACGTATCTGGTCTCTCCGTTGAGGACCAGACTTTCGTCTCTCGATTTGGGCGCGGCCCGATACTTCCCGTCTCCCATAACACAGTGCATGAGGCCTTTGAGAGTATCGCAGATACTCATCCAGGTGCTGTGGCTGCTATACATGGAGTCAAAAGCATCACGTACCTGCAACTGGATCTTGCTGCCAACCGTTTGGCACACTACCTCATCGCCTCAGGACTTCGACCCAGACAACGAGTATGTGTCGTAGTGCAACGATCAATAGAGATGCTCATTGGCTTCTTTGCTGTCATGAAGGCTGGATGCCAGTACGTTCCAATCGATGGTGGCGTCGCATCTGACGAAGCTTTGCGACACATATTCGAGGACACCGAAGCCCGTTTCATTTTGTGTCTACCCCAATACTGGGATAGAGTCAAGCAGTTCGCCAATCTTAACACTATCGTCCTCGAACTAGGCATGAACACTGGAGCGTTCTACTCTGCTAGTAGACCAGGCATTCCTGTCACGTCGGACGATGGTGTGTACGCAATGTACACTTCAGGTTCGTGTCCTCTACGTCGGCTATAAGCTTCGCTAATCAGTGGCAGGAAGCACTGGTGTACCCAAAGGCGTAGATGTCAAGCATGGCGCTAAGACCAACGCCCTCCTTTCGGAGCCGGGTCGACTGGGGATGACCGTTGGCTCAAAGGTCGGTCAGGTTTTGAGTATATCCTTCGCCATGGGTGAGTTTTGATATCTTCGATGGTACACGAAATATGCTGATCGTTACTGCAGGAGCATGGGAGATGCTGGGGTGCTTGATGAATGGCGGGACGTTGTATCTACGAGGATCTGACTGGGATGCAACACTGAAACAGGTAGCTGGAACTACCTACTGCCGCTGACAAACCTCGCTAACGAGCTCGGTAGATCGACACTCTGATATGCACTCCTTCTATTCTCGCAAAGTATAATCAACAACACTATCCGAACGTCAAGACGATCGCTGTAGCAGGAGAAGCGTGTCCGCAAGGGTGAGTACGTCGCAGGACCTGACTTGAACTAGTACTGACCATAACATAGTCTTGCTGATGACTGGGCTCAAGGTAGATCTTTCTGGAATCTACTAGGCTCGACGGAAACCTTTTTGCTTTCTGCACAAGAGCATGTCGTCGGCACGCCTCTATCGATCGGTCGACCCCTACCCAATGTCTCTTGCTACGTTCTCGATGATGTCGGTAGACTTGCGCCAGTCGGCCAGAAGGGCACACTCTGGGTGGGCGGTGCAGGCCTTGCAAAGGGGTACATCAACCTACCTCTGACGACTGCGGAAAAATTCCAACCAGACGTATTCTCCAACGATGGGTAAGTGGAGATCTCGCAGTTTTCGACCTCGCTAACTATGGCGCAGCTCCAAGATGTACAATTTTGGGAACATCGTATGCTGGAAATCAGATGGCACTATGGATTCATTCGGCCGAATGGACGATCAAGTGAAAATCAAGGTTGGCTCTCATCGGCGAAGAGTTTTGATCGTTGTTCTGACCATTGCAGGGATTCCGCGTCGAGCTCGACGGTGTTACTGCTACTATCGAGGTACGTATGTTCTTGCTGGCCTTTCATCATCGCTAATCTCATATGCAGAGATTCGCTGGTATTACACGAGCTGCCGCTCTCGTCATCGACGGTATACTGCACGGATTCTACGCATCCTCCGCTTCCATCAATGAACAAGAGCTCAATGACTCTGTTCGAAAGCAACTTCCTTACTACTCCGTACCTGAGCGATGGCTGCGCGTTGACGACATCCCTTTGAACTCCAACGGCAAGGTCGACAAGACACAACTAAAGACACTCGCGGCAGCATGCAACACACCGATCTCAGAAGTGAAGCGTATGAAACCGATGCATACAAGAGTAGATTCAGCCATGGATGCTTTAGTGCTACCCGAGAAGGTTGCGATCCCTCAGGAGCCTATGCGACGTTTGTCAGATGTCGATCTCGAGAAGACTTCTGCACTGAAGAGTCTTGCACATTGCTCCTTGGTGGAAAAGGACCCATCGCTCAACGTACCAGCCAGACTACCAGAGCCGAAGGGCTCAGAGGTGACGGCTTGGCTGCGGCATCGTGGTCTCATCGCATACCGCTGGTTCCTATTTCCAATCGTCTTCGTCAACATTGGTGTTGCGTGCTGGCTGCTATATGAGGGCATCGAGAGCAGGGAGTACCCATTGTCATCCGTCGCAAACGCCACAGCATCGAATCTTTGTGCTGCGATTTTGATACGATCAGAACCGATCATCAACCTGCTCTTCTTTGTCTTCTCATCCGTGCCTACTTGGGTACCGCTTGGGATACGAAGAATCTGCGCAAACGTGTTCCACATTGGCGGCATACACGTGGGATGCGCCATCGCTGCTGTCATCTGGTTCGTGATCTTCGTGGTCGGCGCGAGCCTTGAAATGGCGAAAGATGTCGATGAGAGAGTCATATCAGTAGCCCCGACAGTATTGTCTTACCTCATCCTGGTCTTATTGCTCGCCATGACTTCGCTGTCGTACCCGGCTATCCGAAACCGACACCACGATATCTGGGAGGCTCTGCATCGTTTTGGTGGGTGGACGGTGCTCATTCTCTACTGGGTGCTCGTCGGACTATCTACCAGAGATTTAGCCCGTGGACGCATGCCATCGACCTCAGAAGCATATTTACGAAATCCCTCGATCTGGCTGATTGCCGCCGCGACCTGTGCGATCATTTTCCCATGGCTGTTCCTCCGTCGCGTACCGGTTCGTTCTGAAGTGTTGTCCTCGCATGCCATCCGCCTGCACTTCGACTCCAAGATAGCACCAGGCAAGGGCGTTCGCCTTGCGCAACACCCGCTCCGTGACTGGTAAGTAATGTCCCTGTATGCACTGCATTTGAGCGTTTTCCTAACTTAATACACCTTCACATAGGCACGGATTTGCCACCATCACAAACGAACCTAATGGAAAGGGCTACTCCGTGATCGTCAGTCGAGCCGGAGACTTCACGGGCCATCTCATCGATACCGCACCAAGATATATCTGGAGACGCGGCATCCCCACATCTGGTGTTTTGCGCATCGCAACACTGTTCAGAAGCGTCGTCGTAGTAGCCACCGGCTCCGGCATTGGCCCATGCCTCTCCATCTTTCCCTACCAACACATCGCCATGCGCATCCTATGGACTGCACCCAATCACGAGACCACGTTTGGGAAAGGCATGGTTGAAGCTGTCCGCGAAAGAGATCCACAAGCCGTACTTTACAACACCCGGACGTCTGGTAAACCTGACATGAGTCTCTTAACATACGCGCTCTATAAAGAGAGTGGTGCAGAAGCGGTGTTAGTGATTAGCAACAAGCGGTTTACACAGCAAATTGTGTACGACATGGAGAAGCGGGGAATTCCGGCCTATGGCGCCATATTCGATTCTTGAAACATGATAGGGCAACTCAAGCATGGCGGTGTCCAGCAATACTGCTTTTTGTCGCCGCACGAGAACGGGTTTCTCAGGATGACGAGCGCATTGCAGTTCTTTTTTCCAGCAAGCAATCGATGAAGATACATAGATGGTTTCGCAGACATCGCGTGATGCATTTGAGCAGGTGATTTCAAGTTTGTTGACGTAACGACCGGACAATTTCTCCCGGCTAAGCCCGAAGCACGTGGCCACTCTTGGCGGCGGGTACGCGCATTTCCGCTCCACCACCGAGGCTTGGATGCTTGCACCACTAACAGCGCGTCGCACGTCTGTGAAGTACAGTCCATCTCAGCAAACGGTGCTTGGTATTCTTGTGATGCGGTCATGTCTGCCATTGCTTGTGCGACCGAGCACCCGACCGTTCCCGACGCTACCCATTGCCTCGTAACCCAGGGACAACACCACAATGTCAGTCGCATTGCCAGCACGTATGCTCGGTGAAGCCGTCCTGAAGACTTGTCCTGACACCTCCCTCCCCTGGAACGCCAAGATGCAAGTCGATAGTGATTGACCAGCCACGTTTAGCCTTTGCCCTAAAGGACTTGCTTTTCGAGACCAGTTAATCTATCTTATCTAGTGCTGCACATCACACAAGGCAGCTCGTTCCAATGCCCATGCATCTCTGGATCTACTTGATCCTCCCGGGCAGGTGCATCAGGAGTTTCAGCGGAGACAAGACGAAAGGAGAAGGAGATCAAGTTAGCGCCCGGCGCAATTCGCGAAGTCGGCCAATGAGCGGTATGCCACACCATCACCGCTCCGGCGTGTTTATGCTAGAGTATCACCTGCCGGCCATTAGGAGAAGGTCGATCGTTGTACAGAAATGGAAGTCATGTATAAGATGAATGTTGTTTCACAGTATGCTGTAGGCACCAGCGGACCATTCCTTCGTTTCCCCATATTCCTTCGCTCCAAGCAGTCTCAAGATGAAGTACGCTCTTACCGCCGCTCTGGTCCTTCAAAGTACTACCGTTCTCGGTAGTCTTCTGCCTGTTCACTTCACGGCGCCTTCTCCAGCACATTTTCTTGACATTGTTAACAATGGCACGTACGATTTGGGCTGCAGGCCCAAGGCGGTTCCATCCGAGCAGGGCCACTTCGAGCTTCACGCTCTTCTGACTGAGGATCAAATCGCGTATCTTTCCAAGGAGTACGAGAACTCTGAAGAGGTCAGCCTCCATCGCCGGGATCTTACTAAGAGGGCCGCCGACGCTCCAATTGGTAGTGGCGACCGCTGGCAGGGTGGTGCCGTTACACCAGCTGGTCTTGGTACCAAGGCTGCGGGCTCCACTTTCAGCAGCATCATGAATGTCAACGAGATCAACTCAGCCATCAAGGGTCTTGTCAACGGATATGGCATCAGCACCGTCACCCTCCCATACAAGACCTTCAACGGTGCTACACAAACCGCTGGATACGTTGGCGCCGGTACAGACAAGTCCAAGTACCGCCTCTATCTATCTGCTGGCATGCACGCACGCGAACGTGGAGGTCCTGATCAGCTCATCTACTGGATCTCTGACCTCTTGGCCGCAAACAAGGCCGGAACCGGCCTGAAATACGGTAGCAAGACTTACACCAACGCCCAAGTCAAGAGCGTCCTGGCTGCTGGTATTGTCTTCTTCCCTCTCGTCAACCCAGATGGTGTCGCATACGACCAATCTTCTGGATCGTTATGGCGCAAGAACCGCAACACCCGATCCGGAAGCAGCGGCGCCTCCGTCGGTGTTGACATCAACCGCAACTTCGATTTCCTCTGGAACTTCAAGAAATACTTCGACCCCTCCACATCTCCTGCATCTACCTCACCCAGCTCGGAAGCGTTTTACGGCTCGGCTGCTGCGTCTGAGTCAGAGACCAAGAACCACGTCAGTGTCTACGATTCATTCCCGGGCATCAGATGGTTCATGGATATCCACTCTGCTACCGGTGACATCCTTTACAACTGGGGTGATGATGAGCTGCAGAGCACTAGCACAACAATGAATTTCCTCAACAGCGCATACGATGGAAAGAGAGGTCGTATTGGTGACTCAACGTACAAGGAGTACATTCCCTCAGCTGATGCCACGAACATCAAGAACGTTGCTGCCAAGACCGCTGCTGCAAGTAAGTAATATTTGGCTGATTTTTGACATACGACGTACTAATGCTCCATCCAGTGAAAGCAGTAGGCGGACGATCCTACACTTCGATGCAATCCGTGGGCCTGTACGCTACTTCTGGTGCTTCAGATGACTATGCTGCTAGCCGCACATACGCCAAGTCTGGTGCCAACAAGATTCACGGGTTCACCATGGAATTTGGATACGCCACCAACTTCTACCCAACTCTGTCCGAGTTCAACACCAACATTCTCGACACGAACGCTGGATTCATGGACTGGGCACTTGCTGCGATTGCCGTTGGCCTCGTATAATTGAATCAAACGAGTAGCTCAGTGTTACCAGGGTGTACAGGAGTGGTGCGACGGCGTTTTTGAAAAGGTCTAATGCGGAGTTGTAGCGGTACGGATGGCTCTGAGGAAGCGTTCCTGGAGTAATTGGCGCTCACGACATGATGGTTGATGATAGACGATGATATGTTGTGACGGCCGATGTAGCACGTGTAGCAATTTCATATCGTTCAAAACCATTTAATTACTTTGTGATATCACAAACGATCTCTTTACCCCAGCTTGAACCCTCCGCCACAGCCCCTCTGAAATAGACCTTCAGGATCAACCTCCTTGCTCACACTGCGCAAGAACTTTAGGTTTTCCTCTCCGTAGCCTTCAAAAGGATTCTGCCACGCTGCGCAATAGTTCAAGTAACGGTACCGGTGGCCCGTTCCATGCTCTAGGGCAAAAGCATCAATCTGTTCAATCGCCTCCCTGGTGATACTCCTCACCACGTCATCGTGCTCCTCCAGCGCCCAATTTACTGTAAATTGAACGTTTACTAGAGGCTCATCGGAACCTTCATCTAAGCCTAGCGGATTTGCATCGCCCTTCCTAGCCCAGGAAGGTAGACATGGCTGGAGGACCAGAGTCCAGCTCATACCCTTGACTGCATGTTTCTTGATTCTCGGGATCGCATCACGGTATGCTTTGTGAGCGGCATCCAAGGTTTTTCGATCATTCTTGATGGTCGTAGTGGCAAACTCTTGGCGTCGTCCAGGGGGGTTCAAAACGCTCAACTCGTCTGTAGCGCTGACCAAGCTTCGAGTTTTGAACGTACTCCACAAACGCCATAGTTTGTTGAAGCCGGAACTGCGCCAGGACTCTGGCCAACCCTTCTGTTGAGAGTCAGGGGTGGTATGTACGAGATTTACTGCTATAGCTTGGATCCCAGGGAATTGGAGGTATGTAAAACACGTCAGCGGCCCAGCGGCGTGAGGGTCGAATAGATGTTGCAGCTCTCCAGTCAAGGTTCGCGTGACGAAAGAATGAAACGCTGCGAGAACATCTGGAGCTTTGTATGGGAGTAGGTAGAGGAACCCGCTCCAGACATCCGTTGACGCGAAACTGCGAAGTGTGAAGCTGGTCACGACACCGAAGTTGTTACCTCCGCCTTTGAGTGCGCGCCATAGTTTAGGGTTATCTTTCTCAGAGGCGTTCACAATAGATCCATCTGCCAATACAACCTCAAACGCGAGGACGTTATTGCATACGAATCCGTACTGAGGTGAGAAGAACGAGAGACCTCCGCCAAGAGTCAGACCAGAAACACCAACGGCGGAGTTCCTTCCACCAGCCACTGCAAGACCTTCCTTCCCAAGAGCTGAGTACGTGTCAATCCATTTGCAGCCGGCTCCGACGACAACGCTCTGTCTATCTTCGGCAGGGGTGACTTGATTGAAGAGTGATAGATCAATGACAACGCCACCTTTGATGCTTGACGCACCAGCAACAGCAGAGTGACCGCCTCCTCTGATGGCAAAGATGGACTCCAACTCTTCTTTCGTCTCCTTAGCCCGGTCGTTTCTTATATCGAACTCGCGTTTGAGAATCTTGACGGCCTGCGCCAGCTCCCATACGTTGCGCGGCCGCACAATACATGCAGGCGACACCTCGCAAGCCTTCTGATCCCAATACACGTTCATCAAATTTTTGAACTCTGTCGCTTTCTCCGAAGTGGTAACGATGTGCGGGATGGCTGCGATCAGCTTGGCGTTCAACTGTCGTCCAGAAGCCGTTAGTCCATCGTCAAGCCTCAGACGACCAGGTTTCTCAGCTTCTGCGTCGCGCTCGACTTGAGATGAGCGGACACGAAGCCGTTGCCTGATGTATACCGTGGCAAGAAGGATAGCTATGCATGTGTACGAGAGCCATGATAGAGCCATGGTCAAAAATGGAGGACTTGTGCCCGCTGGCGCTCAGAGACAGTACGACAGCTTGTATGCGGTTGGGAACAGCCAAGTCATCAGCGGCTGTAGGAGAAGCATTCGAAATAAGGGTGAATCGGAGGTTGCAACATGAGTTGCGTACGATGCGAGATGTGAGGGGCAGGGCGTAAAGACACGCCCAGCGCAGGCAATGTACACAGTCAGATGACGTAATCACTTGGCACCATCAACACATCTCCAGCAGTCATTGCTTATCATAAATCGATCGGACAGCGAGATCTAATTCTCTCGTCCTTCTCTCGGGCTATGGATCGTGCGCCCAAAAAAGCATTACACCTGACCTGCGATGGCTCATAGAAAATGCGCCCAGAAGGTACGCATCGCATTTTGAATCAACGGGCTGATAGAAACAAAGGGCATGAAAGGTACACAACGCGTCTCTTGAGCGTACAGCAAGGAAACAGCCTGTAATATGTCTATCCAAGTTGGCCTCCTGTAAGTAGAGCACTCATGACGTCGGGGTGCGAAACCAACGAAAACTCGGCTCATGACTTCTGAATTGCTAACGATGCTTCCACGAAGGATGATCGCGACTGGAGAGAGTACAATCACAACCGGTTCGCTACTGGTTGCCTACCTCCTCTCGCCAAGCTTCCGCTTCTGGAGCAGTCGCTGTCCAGAACAGCTGCGATGCTGTGCTCTTTGGAGTTGTATTCGCGGCATGTTCTCGAGAAGCCATCCATAGGTTCATTGGCGTGTAATATCCGCTCGTTGAACGGGACGATAATTGTTTCGCAGACGAAACATTGTTGCATCCGTCGGAGTCGCCGTACATTTCCAGAAAAGGCAAGATTGCGATACATGAGTTATTAGATTATGTGTTTGAGACTTTCGGTTTCTAAAAGTCCGGTTTCGTAACAGAGCATTGTGCACAGTACATTCATCATATGTCGAGATCGGGGTACCACTTCTTCACCCACTGGTCGAGGACCTTGGGCCCAACTGGCTTGGTCAGAAACTCATCTGCGCCAGCGTCCTCTGCAGCTTTGCGATCATTCGAAGAGTCTTGACCAGTGACAATGAATAAGACGCTTCTTTCGTGCTTATGCTGTTTTTCCAGCCGTCGTATCTGCTTTGTTGCATCAATGCCGTCACATACGGGCATCTGAAGATCCATGAGAATCAATTTGAAAGGCTGTGTAGGTAAGCTTTGTCGTAGAAGTGAATCATACTTGGGTACGAGGGCTTCTGAGAAGATGTTGACAGCCTGCTGTCCATCTTTTGCGCTCCGGAATGGGATGCTACGTCGAGTGCAGTACATCTCTAGTAGACGGAGGTTGACGGCGTTATCATCGACAAGTAGGGTCAAGGGTTTGTCCGACGCCACCGGAGCCTGTGTCAGAGTGAGAGTAGGCTTGGTTTGAATGCGCAAGCTCCGTACAGACTGTACCAATTCAGTTTGTAGCTTTTCAGGGAATATTGAGCCCCGCTCGGCTGGAAGTCCCGGACGCCCGTTCGTGTGGGGTGTGGAGGGTGGGCTAAAAGGCTCAATGGCGACGCCGCCGGTTGCGTTGACCCCTGCATCCGGGGTGGACGATCGGAATTCAGCCGAGATTGCATCTGCGTGCTCCAGTGCTTGTTCAAGTGTCTCTGACAGAAAAGGACCTTGAACGTAGACCACGTTCCCTTGCCGCCGGACTCGTTCGGTATGGAAGTCAAGAAAGCATGCGCATTCTGGAACGAGGCAGATTGCAACTTGTTCTGTACCTATACTTGATGTGTGTCTATAGAGTTCAGCGAGATTTGGTGTATAGTCGACGATCACGAAACTGTCATGAAGCGTCCGGGACGCTGACCAGCCAGCACCTGAGAGATATTGGGTGAAGTAGTAGCCCAGAGATGATGTTGAAGACTCCGATGCGAGGTGATGGAACGTTGGCGGTAGTCGGGTGAACCTGTCCTTTGCCGCACGGGAAGATGGTAGTGAGCTAGCACAGATGGGCTCGTTGAACGTGGCTTTGATATGTGAGCCTGGACCTTGGCTCGAGCGCACCAGTGTGATCTCGCCACCTAAAAGAGTCGCTGCTTTGCTCGCCAATGTCAAGCCCAAGGCAGTATCTGTGCCACTGAGATCAATCTTTTCGTGAGCATCAAACACGCGGTCGTAATATCCCTTGGACGTCTTATGCCCACTGTGCTCAACATCGACGATGAGAGACTGGCAGCCTTCCGTGACCGACAGTGTGACTGCTACTATGCCGCCAGCAGCATTCTGGGCAGCATTAACCATAAGTGGCTGAATACAATCTAGAAAAACACGCTTGTCGACAGCGAGCAAGTCGCAGCTCGTCGGAAGGTGGTGTTGAATGATAAATGATGGCCTTGTTGAAAGATCGTCAGAGAGTCCTAGTAGGGTTTCCTTGAGCAGAGCGTCCTCGATCTCGGAGATCTTGTGCATAGTGAGAACGCGCTCCGCCTGGGCAATATCTGCCCATTGATTCAACTTGATAAGGCTGTTTACTGTGGAGATGAGCTCTCTCGCAGAAGTCTTGATGGTCTTGATATAAGTGTAAGGATCGAGCTGTTCGATATCCGGGCTCGCAGTAGGTGAGGAGGCGGCTGTCGACGGAACCACGTTTCGAGATTTCAGCTCTTCCGTCAAAAGCTCGACTGAACCAAGGATGCCGTGAATGGGAGTTCGAAGCTGATGCGTAATACCGCGGAGGAAGGTTTCCTTAGCGCTGAGTGCTTCTTGTAGTGCGCGGCCTTGCCAATAACGACACAGTATATTCTGGACGCGAAGATGAGTCAGTATGTATCCACTGAAGGGAGAGTACGAAGAAATTCGCTTTCATCGAGTTGCACCTCAAGCACGACCATGAAGATACTCGCCCAGTCTTAAGCATGTTGAGGCTATAGACTAACGACGTCGTATCCTTTAGGCAGCAATCTTGATTGTCGTACAACTGGTAGACTCAAGCATCTTCGTATATGTCGTCACTTACCGCGCACATGTGTACGAACCATGAATCGATATCGTCAAACACCATCTTGAGATCATTGCTGGCTACAACCAGGAACATCGCCGCACGTTGACTGGTGCACTGCGCCGCAATTACTCGTACAGCCCGGGGGGCAGTCATATCCGAGTGATTCAGGTTCTCGATGGCATAATCAAAGTCTACGAAAAGAGCAGGCGCGAGGTCAGTGTATGTCGTAGAGAAACTCATATATTGCCACTCACAAGCAGTGTCTTCCCAGAGACCCTGTTCCAATTCACAAGTGCGAAAGCTTGTACCACCATTAAGGGTAGCTTGGCCATCTGTGATCAGATTGATACTCACTTCTGTGTTAGGATAGACATCTTGGAGCATCCGGGGTATCGCTTCCTCCATGTTGACGTGGTCGTCGCAGTGCTGCTGAGCTTGGGAAAGCAGCTCAAGCATCCGTCTGCGCTCGCGTTGACGCCGAGCTCTCGCGCTGTGTACTATATCCGCAACTATCCAGTCGGCGAGTCTAGCAAGTGCCTGCTGTACGGTTTTGGAAAGAGGTTCTTGCGGAGAGTTGGAAGCGACACATAGCGAGCCAAAAGCGACGTGCTCGCCAAACTCAGTCTCGAATCTCAACGGCACACCAGCATACGCGCGCAACCCACCCTGTTCGACATGGGGCGACTTTTCAAAGCGCCAGTCGATAGCCATGTTTTGCATAGCGAAGACCGTCTGTTCCAATTAATCGCGGGCTAAATGTGGGAATAAGTGCTCACTTACGCCTGGTGGTTGATTGATGGTGTGGGCGCATGTACTCTCGCGACGGGGTAATATTGCAAGGGGGAGGTTCACAGTGACCATCCGGGTGTATGTAGTGTGGTTGAGAAGGCCAGCGATAACAAACTCCCAGCCTACTGTCTCATGCGCAAGATAGACTTTCTCCTGGAGGCGAGACATTAGCTCTACATCCTCAAGCGCCCCGCGCGTGTAATAGAAGAACAAGGTCAGTCTCAATCTCTCGTTCCGCGTCAACACGGGAAAGAGATAGCTGTCTGCATGAATACTGGTGGGACATTGCGCTCTAGCAGGTATGGGCGCCGGAGACCAGATATCGTGGTTGTGTGGATATACAGCTGCGACTTGGCCTGCGGTCCATGAATCCAGAGGTTTATCGGCATGCTCAAGATCGAATATTGGTGCGGTCGTGGTAGGACGCTCGGATATTGCCGGTGCAGCGTGTCTCGATGCGAGGACGGCTGCATCTGCTTTTGGGAAGAAAGCAACGCGCGCGCCGCCCTTGGACTGCATCGAGATAGACGTATATCGAACTACTTCCCAGCATCAAAGGCAGAGGTTGCGCAGTGTATTATGCAGAGTTGTGGTATATCGCGGGAGCTAGAGGCTGTCAAAATGGCGTGCGACGGATTGACGTTCGAGGCCGGTCCAAAAGGCCGACTGATGGTGGCGATGGAGTAGGACGTGTGAACTGGTACGGCGATCGCGACCCTCTATGCGGTGCTGCACGCCGAACACTGGTACGTATGGTAGAGACAAGCTGTTCACATGCGTCAGGCGCGTTCAGCTGGCGAGATTTTGTTAGCCGCATGGTATCCCCGGCCTGGCGCGTTCCTCCGGGCCGAAGGTCATCGATCGATGCGATGCCTTAGCTGCAACATCAAAATACATCGTCACAACGGATGCTCAAGCCTCGAGAAAGTATAGCCGAACTATGGTCGCGTGCAAATCCACTGGCATTAGTTGAGTGTAGCTAGAGTGGCAAACCTCATGAAGAAGGATTTGAATGCGGGGCGGCCGCGCTTCCGGTGTCTCCCATTGGCTGTGTCAAGGCCCACTAATTACCGGAAACCTCGTCTTCTCCGGCAGCAGATACTTACTCAATTTCTTCGTTCTGCCATGCTTTCACCCTCATAACACGTCGAACTGCCGTACCTCGGTACCGCGATGTCGCTCGAATCTACCATCAATCAAACGCTATGACCAGACATTGAAGACAGCAACCTGGTGAACGTCAAGATGGCAGAAGACGTGCTCATAGGTAAGCTGGAAAAAAAGATCCATTTGACGGCACACCCTGGACACCCGAAATTGTTTCAGACGCTGGTATCGATACAGAGAATCAGGCTGCTGGTCTCAAATATGCCGTC